TCTTTTTATTTTTATATTTTATAAGACCACAATTTAAAATAAATGTATATAGCTTTTCTCTGTAGTGAAATTATGTTTTGTAGGTATACATATTCAGGACCGCAAACTTTATATTAACTTGTACAATGCTGTAATGGACATTCTGTAGATAAATAAATAAATAAAAGTCCGAACTGATGAAATACACCACGAAACATTGTCAACCACCTTCAAACAAACGTTAAAATCTCATCTAACAACTACCTACACCGTAGGTTCCGGTAAATATCTGCCGGTAAACAACTACTTTCCCGTCTAGTACCATGCTGAATATTGAATTACTTCCGGCGGACATTTATGAAATGTTTCTAGTTCATCCAGCAACAGAAACATACTGAAATTCGAGTAGCTCACCTACAGGTCGGTTTCGAGGTATTACCTCACATCAGCACAGAGTACAATGACTTTTTATGTAAATCTTGTTGACATCTTGTCCCATTCAAAGGTCAAGATGAGGGGGGACTTTTTATACCCGCACTGTATAGGTGTATTCATGAGGATCACAGTATCTTTTAAATTTTGTGTTACCAAGTATTTTATATTTGATGTCTGGGGTTGATTAGGGATGGTGCTCCTTTCGTTCTGAGAGCGATGCCTGTGCAAATGTAGTGATTTCGGTTGGATTCGCTGAAGAGTTGGAAAAGAGTTAACAAAATGTGTATTTTGAGCTCGTACTTACATTTGGACTATTTAAATAATACTCAACATGGAAATGTATTTTCTATATTTGTATAGTCATCTTATTAGACCTGCATTCATTTAACCAGTGTAGAGTGATGATAATAATGGACAAATATGGGGTTATTTGGATACAAAATGAGGTGGTTCAGGCAGGGCAAGTTTTAAGGAAAACATTTTCAAAATCTAGAGATGGCGGGAAAGATGGATAACTCACTAGATTTATTTCATCACAAAGGTGTCTAAAACACCACAACTCACTATATATAATTTATTTCCTTCCTAAACTTCGCAATCTTTCTGGGCAAGAACATTGTTATCTGAGCTCCAAATTAATAAACGCATCCTTGACTTCAATCACTTTCTTCTTCATCACTAAAATAGTTGCTTTTCCTGATTTTTTTCTTTGAGCTCACATTGTTCTGGTTTTCCTCCATATAATTTCCTGTTGCTACTTTATATCTGTATTCTTCCAGTTCTTGTTTTTCTTGCTAAAAAATAAAAATATATTAGCTGCGGAAAATGTATTCATACTTTAGGCCTTCATGCACCAGTAGTTGGGAGAAATGAGGTTGATAATATTCACTTACTGGGCTTTAAACCATAAAAAACCTAGGATTGAAGATAAACACAATCAATTGCCAAATTAATCTTATTGTTTAGAAAAAGCTAAGGTTAATCTGGTTCATGCATTATTCGCAACGGTACACAGCCCTTACCTCGAAAGCTATAGCTGCACTCAAAGTTTCACAGTCTTCTGGTTCTGACATATTTTCTTCGGCTTCCTCATCACTACTTTTAAAATAATCTTGTTGTTCCTGAAGAGAAATTCAATTGTTAGCTAGAGAAAATACTCGCAGAAGTTGTAGTTTTTATCATAATATTGAATGCATTACTTTTGTCAATTTGATTGCACCGGCTTCTTTCTTTTTTCTTTTTCGGGTTTTCTTTGGAGGAGGTTCTCGTGCACCAAGTAAATTTTTTTCACATTTATAGCTCAAATGTCCAAACTCTCCACATTCATAGCACCTTGTTTTATTAGGATATTCCTAAAACACCTCACATTATTTCAGATTCGGATAAAATTGATCATTTCCATCATACCTTTCTTTTGATAAACTCTGTGGTCCTGCCATTGTCCTTAGCAACACTCGCTTTCAGTGTTCTACCGAACATCTGAGAATGAAAAAAATAATAATTCTTGAGTGAAATAGTTCACTGTTGATGTTCGATTTTTATACTGATTAAGTCGGGTTCATATTCTTTACATTCCCAATGAAATATATTTTGAAGAAAGGAGATTTCCATTTAAACTGGGCTATAACTATTATGATCATTATTTCATAAGAAAAGACCGTTTCAAAAAATATAACATACATCTAAATTACATCAATTTAAAAATTTTAAACTGTGTTTGACTTTATAATAGTGTTTTCCATGCTGATTAAGCTTAAGAAAATGAAATTCTTTGATTGATTGAAGTGTTAAGGATTAATTCAAATGATATCTAAGCATATGTGAAGGGGAGAGTTGAATTTGACTAAAGTAACAAATTTAAAACGAATAATTGTAAGGAAAAACATATATATTGATATGTTAAATTCATTATCGATTCCAATGTATAATGAAACTGGAAGGAATCGGTTATTAAACCAAGAAAATTGAATTTCTTCTCCTGAGGATGCTAACTTTGTTGACGAAACGCGCGTCGAGTGCAAAAATATCAGTTTGATGTTAGGGCAATTGATCTCGAAAAAAGTTATTCATGTTCAATGTTGCCTTACTTGTTTCATATTGGTTTCCTCAACACATTTTCTAGCATCTTCTGGATTCAGAAATAGAATGAATGCTATACCTTTGCTTCTCCTTGAATCTCTTTCTTTCACGACAGTCACCCTGAAACAACTATTAATTACATTTCCAGCATCTTCATATATTTTGTTTACCTACTTTATTATTCTTCCATGTTTTTCAAATAATTTGTGAAGATCATTATTTTTCAAATCAAAAGGTAGGTTTGAAATATAAACAGTACTTTTACTTGGAACTAAACCTCCACTCATGATTTAGCCACCCTTTTTGTTTCTCCTAAACTACAAGATTGGAATAAAGGTAGGATTATATTTAAATGTCATAAATTCTTTGAGATGAGGAGCATCTGTCACTCCTCAGAATGTCAATTACAAGAAGACTATAGAGCACAGAACACAGAATAGACAGCACGGAACCGAAAACATGAATTATTTGACAATCTTGAAGTGATTATTAGCAACTTGAAAATTTCAAGTTGTTAGTGAATATGAACATAGCACTTGCGGCGTTGCTAATAATCTCCGCATGGGTCGTCCTGAAGTTGACTGACAGAACCAAAGAAAATTAATCCAAGATGCATAGAATATCACTTGGACCTCTTCCTCATGTAAATTATTTTGATATAAACTACCGACCTATTGATGAAGTAATGATGGAGATTCAATAAATTTCAATATTCCGTTCAGAAGGTACTGAATGCTCGATTACACCTAAAGTGACACTACTTGATAATGTCAAGTTGGCACTCCAATTTTCAATGTTGTGTTTGTTATACAAGATACATGATCTTAATACCACATACTCTAGTCTCTCGTTAACCTCGGTATCTTCGTTGTTCGTCAGCCTAGGTATGTTCGTTGACATAGTTCTCATAACAGGGTTGTTCACGTTTGGGTATTATTTATATCGATACGTTATGGTTCATAAATTGAAGATCTGAAACAAAATAACATAATTCGATTCTTGCACCGTCTATCAACATTGGTCCATTTCATTTCGCGTGTCAGAATTTTCGACGAAATAGAAACGAAACGGCAACACCAGAATTTTTATGCATCCTGCTTTAATTTCTGACCGAAATTTCTAATCACGATGTCATACAGGTAATGACATTGAAAATTTAATTTAGTGAAAAGTGTACTATTACAAGCACGAAATATTTCACTGAAGAGACACAAAATTGGCAGCGCTTTAATGATTAGGCGTCAAGTGTCTGTGAATTATATTCTGAGCAGTCTTGCCAACTGGATGAACTATAAAGTCGCTACACATGAAGCAAAATTCCGCTACACTACTTCATATTTCGTTACGCTTGTAATCTGGAGCAAATCAGTTCGCGCATGTGCCCTATCCAAAATTAAATACCACAGAACATAATGAGTCATAATGATCTCCTGAGGACGCTAATTTGGTCAGCGAAACGCGCGTCGAGAAACCGCAATTTTTTTGGTATTGGGAAAGTGTTTTCACTACATTTATTTCACGTCAGAGGTTCCAATACGAATTATCAACCACAGAACTTAAGTTTGTGTATATGAAAAGTGTACTATTACAAGCACGAAATATTTCACTGAAGAGACATAAAATTGGCAGCGCTTTAATGATTAGACGTCAAGTGTCTGTGAATTATACTCTGAGCAGTCTTGCCAACTGGATGAACTATAAAGTCGCTACACATGAAGCAGAATTCCGCTACACTACTTCATATTTCGTTACGCTTGTATATCTGGAGCAAATCAGTTCGCGCATGTGCCCTATCCAAAATTAAATACCACAGAACTTAATGAGTCATAATGATCTCCTGAGGACGCTAATTTGGTTAGCGAAACGCGCGTCGAGAAACCACAATTTTTTTGGTATTGGGAAAGTGTTTTCACTACATTTATTTCACGTCAGAGGTTCCAATACGAATTATCAACCACAGAACTTAAGTTTGTGTACCGTTCAGATACACAAAACTGGAATCATCAGGATCAGGAATTCCGCTACGGTTGACAACACTGATTCTGAGTTAGAGGTGTTTTGTCATTTCAGCGGCAAATTCAAATTAATTAAAACTCATCTCAATTGCCTAAAAAGTGATGTTATTCATTTAAAACGGTATGACTATTTAGATTAAATACTATACACTGAATGTAGTTCAATATTTTATTTAAAAATACTCATTGTAATTTTATCTACAAAAGAGGGTAGTTTGGCATAACATCCTGTCTTGCTAATTCCAACAACATAGGGTCGTCGAAAAATTTATTAATAGATACATCCTGGCTCAGCCCTTTCCTCCTCCTAGTTTTTATCATAAATTCTCTAGCCAAGTGAGTGGCAGGTTGGGGTTCCAAAGGCCTGATTACAATAGTTTTGTCCAAGGGATCCCCAGGAACGATCTAAAATGTATGCATCTCAATACTTGAAATGTGAAGGTGCTTCAGAAATGAATAACGAAGTATATATTCTCAGATAAATACCTGCCAGTGATGGAACACAGATAGGCAGAAGGCTTGACCTTGAGTGTGTGTTCTTAAATCAGTTTCGAATCCGAAACTGTCGATTGCCGGAATGAATGCCTTTATGGTATATAAAGGTGACCCTGGTACAGGAGCATCTTGGGTGACATGCCCCCTGGAAATGTTATAAATTATAAGTGAGAAGACATTTGCGAATAATATTACAAAAAGAGGCAACCGAAAAGATCACGAGGTATGGCAAATGCAAGCAAATAAACTTATACGAGGGCAAATTCGGAGACAATTTTCAAGAGGGGGAAACTAGTACTTATTAACAAGGATCTTGCACATTTTAGGTTTAAGCCAATTCACGTCAGCTGCTCCAGTAGTCTTTTTTCTTCGTGTGGGACATCATTGTGCTATATGAAGATGAATAACTTACCTCCTTTTTGCCAAAACAGTATACACAGCCGATACACAATCAGCAGGCGCCTGGACCTCTACGAACAAATATGGCTCCATCAGCCTGGGAGTTGCCATCAAAAACGCAGAGTACACAACTCTTCTGGCAGTCGGTATAATTTGGCCCCCACCTCGATGTAATGGTTCACCAGCTATCACAGCGTCAAGAATTTTAAACTTGGTGTTTCTAATAGGTTCTTCGCAAAGTGGTCCTTCCCTTGTCCCCCATTGAAAACCTTGGACGATTGAGTCTTTCACAGAACTAAGCAGACCTTTGTCTACTTCCGAAGGCAATGTATCATCTACCAGAATATTGGGCCCTGAAAAATTACGAGATTAGTTTTTTGTGATGATCTGAAAGATTTTTCGTGAAAAAAATTGGCCCTTTATGTTTTGAATCGATGAATATATCATACCTGTATTATCAGGCCCGAATGCCATAATACTTCTAGCAGCCAGCAGATCCCAATCGTATTTCGTTTGGAAAAACTCTCCCAGTTTTTTTTTGTTCCATCCTATTTGAACGTTTTCGTTTTCGATATCTTCAGCCAAACCCTTCTCCAAAGGCTCAGCAATCATTGTCAGTTTATTCCTTTTGTTTGGAGTTTCTGCAAAACACTTCAAACTGGATGTTTCAACGACTGTCTCGCAAAAAGCCACTACTGGATCAGCAACTGTAAATCCATTCAAATTTGAATCAATATTTTGAAATATCCATATAAAATATCAAATACCATATGATACTTGATGGAAATCCATTATACAGGGTGATTCAAAAGTACTTCGACAAACTTCAGAAGGTGATTCCTCACGATATTCTAATATGAATTGTCCAAATAAATAAATGTCCGGAAACGCTTCGTTTCCAAGATACAGGATGTTGAAGTTTTATTTTTATTTTCGTTTTTTTCAAATAACTTTTGAAATACTGAACTTAATTAAACGAAACTTGGTAATAAGAGGTTCTTGAGGTGTCGAATTCGAACCTGATGTTCTTATTGCTCTTACTCGTAGGGGGCGCCACCTACACGTCTTTTTCTTTTTTAAAGATTCATAACTTTTTTGGGCGTACTTCTAGCACATTTTTCAGTAAAAAAATCGATTCCTCTATCATATCTACA